ATCCATGTGAAAGCTGTTTCTCCAATGAAAAACACAAAACCACTTGTGCTTTTCCGATCATCTACGTCTCCTCCCCAGTCGCTATCGCTATATCCAACAAGCTTGTAATCATCAGAAATAGAGTAATACAAGCCAAAGTCGATCGTACCTTTGATATAGCGAAGGATCCTCTTAGCTGCCTTGAAGTGAGTGGTTGTTGGATGCTCCATGTATCAGCTCACAACTCCAACTGCATGTAAGATATCAGGCCTTGTGCATGTTAAGTAACGTAGACTCCCAACCAAACTCTTAAAGAGTGTTGGATCCACACTCTCTCCTTCATCATGCTTTGATAACTTAGCTCCACATTCCATTGAAGTACAAACTGGGTTCGAGTCATCCATCTTGAACTTCTTCAGCACTTCTTTAGCATAACCTTCTTGAGAGATGAAGATTCCATTGTCTTCTTGTTTCACTTCAATTCCAAGGTAGTAAGACATCAATCCAATATCGGTCATCTCGAACTCCTTCGTCATCTCCTTCTTGAATTCCTCGAACATACTTGGATTGCTGCTTGTGAATATCAAGTCATCTACATATAAGCATGCAATCAATATATCATTGTTCTGTGTTTTGATATATAGTGCATGCTCATATGGACACTTGATGAAGCTTTTCTCCTTGAAATACTTATCAATACGAGTGTTCCAAGCTCTTGGTGCTTGTTTCAACCCATAGAGCGCCTTCTTTAACCTCAAGACTTTGTCTTCTTCTCCTTTAACTATGTAGCCTTGTGGTTGCTCAATGTAGACTTCTTCCTCAAGATCTCCATTTAGGAAGGCTGATTTGACATCCATTTGATGTATCCTCCACCTATTTTGGGCTGCTAATGAAATGATTAGTCTAACTGTTTCTAATCGAGCAACAGGAGCAAATACCTCGTCATAGTCGATTCCAGCTCTTTGACTATAGCCCTTTGCCACCAATCTTGCCTTGTATCTTTCAACTTCTCCTTTGGAGTTCTTCTTCGCTCGCTTTGTACACCCATTTTACACCAATCGCCTTATGCCCATTTGGAAGTGAAGCTAACTCCCATGTCTCATTCTTCTGTATTGACTTGATCTCTTCATCCATTGCGTTTCTCCATGTCTTCTTCTCTATTGCTTCTTGGAAGTTCATGGGTTCACAATCAGCAAACAGGCAAAATAGGGTAAGGTTTTCTTGATTTTCGGTTACCTCGTAAAGCTCTTGCAGACTTCTAAAACGTGGAGTCCTTTCACTCGAACTCTCATCTCCTTGAGAACTTGGTGTTGGTGAGGTTGATGGAGTAATTGGCTCCTCTCTTGGCTGCTCCAAATCATCTTCTTCAACATGTGGAAAGAAGTTGTAGTTCTCATCATTTGATCTCCAATCCCATTCTGCTTCTTCATCAAAGATGACATTTCGACTGATGATTGTCTTCTTTGTATCAGGATTGTAGAGCTTGTAACCTTTGGAGTTTGCATCGTACCCAATGAAGATGTACTTCTCACTTTTGTCATCTAGCTTGCTTCGTTTCTCATCAGGTACATGAGCGTGGGCAAGGCTTCCAAAGACTCTTAGATGTGAAACACCGGGCTTTCTTCCACTCCAAGCTTCTTGTGGTGTTTTCTCCCAAACACTTCTTGTTGGGGATCTGTTTGACAGATAGACCGCACATGCAACTGCTTCTGCCCAAAACTCCTTTGGTAGCTTCTTACTTTTGAGCATGCTTCTCGCCATCTCAAGAATTGTTCTGTTCTTCCTTTCTGCTACTCCATTCTGTTGAGGGGATCTTGGCACCGTCAACTGTCTCCTAATGCCATTGTCTTCACAATACTTCAGAAACTCTTTGGACATGAACTCTCCTCCTCGATCAGATCTCATAGCTTTGATCACAAGGCCACTTTCCTTCTCAACATGGGCTTTAAACTTTTTGAAGTTCTCAAATACTTCTGATTTTTCTTTCAAAAAGTAAACCCATGTTTTTCTTGAAAAGTCATCAATAAAGAGAAGGAAGTAGTTACTCTTACCGAGTGATCTTAGTTTAATTGGGCCACAAACATCTGTATGTATGAGCTCCAATGGCTTCTGTGCTCTTGTCTCTGGCTCCTTTGGAAAGCTCATTTTGAATTGCTTTCCAAGTAGGCACCCATCACACACCTGATTTGGATGATTGATGCAGGGTAATCCTCTCACCATTTCTTTCTTAGAGAGTAGCTCCAAGCCTCCAAAGTTGAGATGTCCATAACGAAGATGCCAAAGCCAAGACTCCTCCTTGTAGCACATCTTAAGACATTTTGCGATGTCATTTTGAATGCTAAGAACAAACATTCTATTATTTGACATCGGCACCTTGGTGATGAGATTGTTAGTTTGATCTCTTATAGAAAGGCTATTATCTTTTAGTCGAATATCATAACCTTTCTCTAAGAGTTGTCCAAGGCTCAAGATGTTGGTCTTCATACTTGGAATATAGTAAACGTTGGAGATGAATTGATGATCTCCATTCTTCATTCGGATGAGAATTTTTCCTTTACCTTTCACCTCCATCTTTGATTCATCTCCTAAGGCCACTTCTCCTTTCACTGATTCATCGAGCTCCACGAACATGCTTTTTTCCCGCACATGTGATTGCTTGCACCGCTGTCAAGGTACCACTTGTGAAAATCATCTCTTTCATCCTTCTTGTACGCCATTAATAACATATCTTCTTCTTGGCTTCTTTCTTCAGCATAGTTGAACTTCTCTTCAACTCTATTGTTGTTTGGAGCTTTGCATTCAGAAGCATAATGTCCAAACTTCCCACAATTATAGCATTTGACATTTGATTTGTCGTACCTTGGTTTTGGAGATCCTCTCCCACGTCCTCTTGATGAGCTTTCTCCTCTTTGGTTAGTCTTGTCTTCATAGGACCTCCAGCCACGTCCATTTCCATAACCACAACCTCTTCCTCGTCCTTGACCGCCACCTCTTCTTGGATGACTTCGGCCGCTTCCATCTTTGGTTTGATCAATTTGCATCTTGAGTACTTGTTCTGCAAGGTCTTCCTTCTTCTTCTTCTTTTCTTCATAGGCTTGTAGTGATCCTAGTAGTTGCTCCATTGTCATATCCTCCAAATCTTTCGTCTCTTCAATGACAGTGACAATATGCTCAAATTTTGAATCCAACGATCTAAGAACCTTCTCCATGATTCTTACTTCATCTAGCTTCTCCCCATTCCTCTTTAGGTTATTAGTAACCGCTAGAACTCTTGAAAAGTAATCTTGGACAAGTTCACCTTCCTTCATTTGTAATGCTTTAAATTCTCCTCTTAGAGTTTGAAGACGTACCTTCTTGACTTGCTCTGCTCCCTTGTAAGAAGTTCGAAGCTTCTCTCATGCTTCTTTGGCCATCTTTGCTCCGGCAACCTTCTCGAATGTGTCTTCATCTAATCCTTGATAGATGAGACAGAGAGCCTTCTTGTCTCTCTTTCTTGAGTCTCTCAAACTGTCTTTTTGAGTTTGAGAAAGACTACCTTCATTCTCCGGTTCAATGTAGCCTTTTTGGACAATCTCCCACACGTCATGTGCTCCTAGAATGGCCACCATTCTTAGACTCCAGTTGTCGTAGTTGCTCTTAGTGAGCATTGGAACTTGGAAGGGAACACCATTACTTGCCATCTTTAAGAGAATCTTCTAGCTCTGCTACCACTTTGTTGGAAAGAAAGAACTTTTAAGAGTGATGGAGAAGGTGTTTAAGAATTTGAAAGACAAAGGAACAAATTTAAGAAGAAGAAAGTTTTAGAACTTAGAGAGCTTAAGAACTTCACTTAACTTCCCTTATTATTTCTTTTAGCTTGTTAGTTACAAAATGAGAGAGGAGGTAGCTATTTATAGCCTCCAAAGTACAAAATATCTAAAATATTTTATTCCTAAATCTAGAGAATTCTATCTTAATATCTAAATTATTTTACAACAATTATCTAGAGAAATCTCTAGATATTTATTCTCTACAACTCTCTAGAACATTTTAAGGAGGTGAAAGTGTTGATTTTTCTAGAGAAAACTCTAGAATCTTTGATTAAGCATAATTGGATTTTGGCTCAATTATTATTGGATCATTAACCCAATATTTAAGCATGATCCAAAATCAAGTTTATCTTTCAACAATAAGTACATATTTAATCATGTTGCTACACATTTTAAATTCTTAAAGTAAAATTCTTATACAATCAGATACATATGTGTGTGTGTAAATCTGTGTGTAAATAGATGCCAATTTTGATAATTAGTTTTTTTTTTTAATATTGAGAAGGCCTTTTGAATTTTTTTCTATAAAATTAAAATTCTGAAAGACATAATTGGTTGTTGAAGTATTTAACCAGTCCAGTCCACCTGAAAAATAAATTTGTAAGAAGTCACATACAAGAAATGAATTTAAATAATTGATTAATGCCTCAAAGAAGTCTGTTTTTTATTTATTATAAAAAACAAGATAATTCGATAAATATATGCCTAGCTTCATAGCTTTGTATTGTTATTGGATGACTCTGTGATTGAACTGTAGATGAACGAACTTATTCACTTTGTGTCCCATCCACCTAATATTCCTTCGCCCCACTTTTCCTGCTCCCATACCAGCAGCAAAACTTGATTAAATAACATATAACTCACCGTTAATTATGTTTATAGCAATACAATTGCACTTAACTTAGTCAATTAAATGTTTCAGATCAATTAAAGATATTTTGATTCAATTTTTTAACTCTTAACATTGTAAGAAAAAAAAGTATGCATGAAAGTGTAAGAAAAAATCGTTCAAAACTAAGCATACGGTCACATATATTTTGTAGAAAAAACTTGTATAATTAGTATTTGATGCTTAGGTTGTATAAGACAAATCTCGATTTCGTCGAGTTGTAATCTTGTATTATACCTTTTTCTCTACCAATTTTTTTAACTCGTAGTTTTCGTCGATATGAATATAAAATATCTAGTTTAGAGTTAAACCTGATAAAATGTGTATGAATTGTTAAGTAAAAAATACTGTGTTTCAACTCGAATATAGACACAAACGATACTTTCGAAATCTCTATCTTTTGTCTCTTGACATTAATCTAATAGTAATACTCTTCACAAAATAAAAACCCACAAATAAAACGGCCTTTCGTATTTTAACTACAGAAAACAAAAAAACAAATGTATATAAAATGACGAGAATACCCTTTACGGTTTGTCAAGTAACCAGCTCATTAACCCACCACTAGGCTATAATCGTCATTTCGCAAGCTCAACTTAATTTTAAATAATGTTTTATTATGTAATTAACACTATCTATAACGACCTTGAGTCTCGGTCGTCGTTATTATTATTTTCCCCCGACCAACCGAAGAAATCGCTGATCCCGTCAGACGCCGTCGTTTTACTGTTCCGGTCGCCGGCGCAGCTTTGAGAAAGCAACATGCTTAGAGAATCTCCTTCTAGCTCTTCAAGATCTGCGAAGAAATCATCTGGCTGGTGCTGATGATGAAGCTCTGGTCTATACGGAGCAATTTGATTATCGTCATCTTCTTCTACATTTTCCAGCTCCATATCTTCTTCACGTTGTTCATCTTTCACGTCGGAGGCTGAGAGAGGAGGAGGAGTGGCGGAGGAAGGTAAGTGAGTGTTGTTTTGGGAGCCATTGGATGAAGGTGCTGCGTTTGCGGTTGAGGATTTGGAGTTAGGGTTAGAAGAGGAGGAGGAGGATCGTGTGGAACCGGCGAGAGCGTTGCGTTGAATGGGCCAAGGATGGTTATGTTCGGAAGTATATGTAATCACCAACATGTTTGGATCGGTTCGGCTTCTTTCGACTTGCTTTCTTGCTGAACAACCTTTTGAGCTGCTGCATCGATAGTAACCCCTGAGAATCATAAGTGATCGTCAAATTTAGCCAAATCCATTAATATTCAATCAAGATTATCACAAAAGAAATGATTCATCAAGATTATCATTATAAATCTATCCACTATAGAATATGATCACATGGAGGATGAAAATACAAAAGGAAAATTAGTAAGACAATATAATCGTGAAATTTCGTTTGTTTATGTAAAACAAATGTTAAATTCATGGGTGGGTATATGGACCAAACGGCACAATTATCAAGAGGAATGTTGTTACAGTACGAATATTTGTAACAACTTGAGCCAAGAAAAAAATGTGATAATACCTTGGAAAAGGAGAGCCTTTAATGGGTTTCTGACCGTATTTACGCCAAGCCCATAGATCAGACGGAACCACTTCACCACTTGACCGGCTGTTCATTGCTGCCGGCGCCGGAATACACACCACCTTCTTTGCCTGACTCTTCCTGCATATAATACAAGTATATATATATACATACTTACACACGTGTGTGATTTTTATCTATCTATATATACATGTGTATACATATGAAAGCTAAGTTTGGTAGTGGGACATTATTATCATCAGTTGGGTTTGAGATATGATGCAACGCAGTTATATATGTTCTATAATTGTGACAGTTCATAGATTCTCCTGCATGTGTCTTCAACCTCAACCCTCCTTTCTCTCATGAATCTAAACAATTATATATATATATATATATATATATGTGTGTAACACACAAATTCATGATTCTAGTATTGATATCTATATATCATCATGATATAAGACAAAGGAAATTGAAAACTTAATAATGAAAAGTGTACATATATACACACATACACAAAGAAAGGATAATTCATTCTATTTTTAGCATATGCATGCATCCGATTTTTCCGATTGTTATTAGCGATGGATAGTTTCCTATAAACCTAGCTACCAAGTGGCCTAGAACCCTAATTCACTTTACTCTACATGCTTTCATGAAAATGATGTACACTGAATCAAAAATTAATAAATTTATGCATATAATAACTTAATACCAGCTTGGGAAATATTCATTATATCTCATAAAGCTAACATTTAATGAATCATTTGATCTAAGATCAAGAAAAATAAAAATAAAGTACATTAAATTTATACCTTCTCTTGAGGCCTAGATTCCGAGGGGAAGATATATGAATCTGAGAAGAGAACGTGTTACCATCGACCAATAGACAGTTTCTAGGACTGTTTGTATCGACGTTGATGACCCCTCTCGGCGAGGCGGCGGCTGCGGCGGCGATAACGTGAGCCGACATGGCCGGAGAATTACACGGAGAAGAATCGTGGATGATGTTACTATGCGAGATCCGGATTCTTGGGAAGATGCTGCATTGACTCTTTATATGATCATCTTCCGATACCTTAGGAACCAAGAAACCGCTGCTGCTGCTGCTGTTGTTGTTGTTATCTCCGGCGGTGGGGAAATAGCCGGAGTTTGTGACGACGTTGAGTTCATGGAGAAGAGGATCGGTCATGCTCACAAAGGGATCTCCAAAGGGATTTATGTGAAGATCTGATGGCGATGGTGGTGGAAGTGGCCAGATGCTCGGAGGAAGAGGGATTTCCGGCGACAACACGTGGCCTCCAATTCCTCGTACGACGTCGGTTAAGTCTCCTTGAAAACTGTCCATCTCAAGAAGCTCAAAGACGCTGCACATAATCTATATATGATGATGAGTGTGTCTTGGTGTATACTATATACAGCTATACGAAAGAATCTTATCAAAAATCAAGAAAATATAATCATAACGAATCGAAGAGGAGATTATGATTCTAGCGTCGTGTTTGTGAGTATTTTCTTGGGATAACTTGTGATTTTCCTGAGAAAAGATTGAGAAGGGGAGGGAAAAGAAGGAAAGTTGATGATGAAGAGAGAGACGCTGACTTTTCGTGATGAGCAGAACATATCCTTCCCCTTCTACATGTTGATGAGAGACAGAGAGAGAGATTTCATAGGAAATATAATATTGACGGATATTAATATTTTATTATGGACGGAAATATAAGTTAAAGTAAGTGAGATAATCTACTTATTAATCATATAAATGGATCGACGGCCAAGTCTTTGTACTTTTTAGTTTAGATTATCTTTCCGAGTTTACTTGAGCTTGTGAAGTTCTAATATAATATTGGTTCTTGATTACTCGGTGCAAATAATTCGTTAGAACAGAAGTAAGATATTGGATATTAAACAATATTTTTCCAAAAATGTTAAATAATTACTTCTTATTCCGCTCGCAAGAAGAATGAAAGAGATTCACATTATTAATTAAATTCTTTGTGAGAGAACAAAAGCACATCATTGTGTTGAAGAATACCCTGTAAATTTTTATTAATCTTTTAATTTACTAACAGAATACGAACAAAGACACCTCTCTTTGTTTTATATTTTAGATTATTAATTATGATTTTTTTTAACCAAATTAATATGATTTCTTGTCTTGACGTATAGTTTTATCAGGACAAGATCATTCCGTAAACGAATTTGATTATCATTATGGTATTCGTGTAAGAAGAGCAGCATTATAAACATCATACGCGTAGGTAAGTTTTTTATGTATTTGTAACTCTTTAACAAACAGAAAAGAAATATCCATTTTCAAAAAAAAAAAAACAAACAAAAAAAGAAATTGATTAATCATGTCAAAAGTATTTATTTATTTTAGAGATACCGGCGAAGTTAATAGATGCGACCGCAATTCTCGGAACACGTTTCTATGCTAGCCAGTTATAATCCGCCACGAGATACGTTATGACTAGCATTTCTTTTTGTTAAAATAGGTACCCCCAAAAATGTTTGTTTTGTATTCATGTTCTGTACTACAACAAACACTAAATGCTACGCAACGCAAAATGTTCAAATTCGATCCAAAACTTTAAGGACCATTATTTATTTTTCCTAAATTATAAAGCTACAAAAAAGTTATATAGATTAGATTTTTGGGGGAATTGGCTCATATAACCATATCAATGCTTATAATTTAGAAAATAATCATACCAATATAGAAGTTATTATATTCTTTGTATATTCGACAATATATACAAAATTGTCTTTGTTTGTTTTTCTTTCTCCTTCGATCTTCTTTTCTATTTGCATCATTTTCTCCTCACTTCCCCTCTGCTCATCTCCACTCATCCAATTTCCCCTCCTTCCCTTCCCCTCTCCTCGCCTCTTCCCCTCCTCTCTTATTGTCTTCTCTTTTTCTCTCTCTTTAATATAGTATAGTAAATATAATTAAAATCTCAACTACTATACTATATTAATTTTTTGTGTAAGACCATATATTATAGTATAGTCCGAAAAAAAATCATTTGCTATAATCAAAACTATATTCTATATATGTTCTCGGTTTAAAACAAAAGGGGTTTTTAGTCTTTTTAATGTAGGGTATGATTATTTTCATATTTTTTAAATAGCATGACTATATTCTTGTATTCTTTTATAAATATAGTTAGATTGCAAATTAACCCTAAATTTTTAGTACTGTAAATCTACAAAAAAAAAAAAAATCTGTGAAAAAGCCACAACTTTAGTAGTGGGCAAGAGGGCAAATCTTTAGCCAAACATATTGGACTATTTGTAGAACAAAAATGGACACTAGTGGCCGATCTCGAACGGATCAAAAAGTTAATGAGTTACACAAAAAGATTTGGATATTCGTTCGTTCACAAAAGATAATGAATAATACAAAAGGAGGTCGGATTTTGTAGGAAGTGAACTTTTTTTCTCAAGAAGTTGGTTATGGAGGCAGCTATAATTCTTGCTCGTTCCATTATGTTTCTGTTACGTCATAAAACTTGTCACGACCTATTGATCAAATTAAATGCAGCATTGCTTTCGATTCTATTCTATCCGATTGCAATGTTCTTTTTAATCAAATCAAACACCTTAAATGATTATACGCCAACCCAAGCTATCCATAAACAATATGTGTGATAATATTGATGAAAAAATAAAACCCGAATAAATGGCTAGTAGGTATATCAAGCTTTAGACGAATCATATCTATTCAAATATATCTGTGAGATAACATAAGAAAGTACCGTTATTATATATGATGTGAATATTTGTTCGACTTCATGATGAACACTTACACCCACGTTCGTGCATTACAAGTACTCCATCAATAAATAACAAACAAATGGTAGCTTTGAAAAACTAATGTGGATTTTTAAGAGTTTCAAGAATATTGTACATTCGTCATATTTGATATTATTAAGTAATGGCTTATTGGGATTTGTAGCATTAGCATGTTGATGTAGCCTTCTTTATACAGCTACAGGTGTGGATAAAAATCGACTTTACGTGCAATCTGTCCATGCTCTTTAAGTAGTCCCCAAGTTCATTACTAAAAAACCCTAGTCACACTCGTATTTAGCTTCATGAATCGTATTTCAATTCTGTCGGTTTACTATAAAGGTACTAATAAATTTGGAGAAAAAGTTCTCTTCAAATGTAGGTTAGTATACTTGATTATAAATGTTTTCAAAGATTACTTGTTTTGATTATACGCTTCCTCATATATATATATACGAATGTTCTATATATATTTTTAAAACATCACTTCAAAAGGTGTTAAATTATTATAAGAAGCGTAAGAAAACAATCGAAATAACAAAACCACACAACAAAGTTGATATGACATTAGTAGAGATCAACTCTTTAGTAACTGTGTATATCTTAAGAAGATAACTGACTTTTATAAACTATAGCAAAAGTTCTGATAACTCTAATTACCCATCAAGCCTTAATATTTCACTTGGCGATGTAACAAAAATGCGAAGAAAACTTCCATTCGAATCTAGAAGCCATATACGAATTTGTGGTCTAGGATGAAGTAATCTAAACATTAATAGAAAAAAAAAGTAATCTAAACAACGGCTTACTCGTCTTGTAAGAAATACAAAAGTCAAAAGGAAGAAAATATATAGAACAAAACAAAAGGCAAAAGAGTACTTTGGATCCATAATGATTGGTTTTTTAAAAACAGATCTCTGGGATTGTCAAAAGACTCAACGGTAAAGAGAAAAAAAAAACAGTAATAGCAGAGTGGAAATCAAGAACATGAGTTCTTCTTTATCAGACTTTTTTGATTTGTCAGATAGCTTGGTTCTTTATTCATTGTGTCAATACGTTCCATTACATAACTATTACTTTCACTCTTTTTTGTTTTTGTTTTTCTTTGTTTCTTTACATCATGAATAAATTGTGTATTCGGATTGACAATTCGAGGAAAAGGCGCATGCAACAGTTCAATTGAAAAGAAACGATTTGACTAGTTTTGGATGTTTACCAAAATTTCGAGAAAAGTGTTTATCCATCACCACCAGAGCTCGAATCTCAGCAGAAATATTCGGTGATGGAAACACAAATTTGTAATCTTTTTATCAACTTCTAACGTGGAAAAACGATTTCAACCCAACATATTGTGGCTAAATCAAGGCAACTCCAAAACCACTCTTACGTACAAAATGTTTTTTTTCACTCATCTTCTCTTTATGTATGTAAATAAATATAAAAAAAGAAAAAGAGCTTACAAGGGTTAGATATATATAACTGTGGATTACAATGTTATTCGATCTTCCTTAAAACTATATAGTTTCCTATATGCATTTTGGTTTTAATTCTCTTTTGGGAGTTCCATGTTTGTTTACATTACATTGTATATGAATGAAGGATAATTTTTTTGCAATCGACGGAAAACTACTACCTTTTTTTTTAATCTTTTATTTGCTGTTTCTTACTCACTTATGATCATCTCCGGGGAATATTGTAAGATTGATTCGGATGTGAAAATGGTGATCCAGAGGAGCCTCTAGATCCCTCAGAGGATATAGGTGAATCAAGCAAGTCCTGTAAGGCTTGATTCTCAGGAGCAGGGTACGATGTTTCTGCGAGAAATTACAGAAACAAGATTGAGTCTTCAACAAAAAAAACAAATATAAGTTTAAGCTAAAACCAAAGTTCTGAGACATAATTCAAGTTTAGCAAAGTCTCGGTCTTTTTACCGAACAGTGTCTTGAGAGATGGTTTCTTCGGTGTCTTACTCTTCCGTTTCAGTTCCGCTGCGTAAAAAGAGTTTATGAGCTTCTGTTATAACCGAAAAATTAACTAACTCTGGCGAGATTTGTTCATGTGAAAGAAAGGCAAAGTTACTGACCCATGCCAGGGATATGGTGTTCATCAACTATCTCAAGATTCTTGAACGTATAACCAAGAAAGTTTACATCTTTGGATGAGATCATCTGCACATAAGTTTGCAAACAATTGGTAAGAATGATGATTTCGGGTTGAATATACATGCGAAAAACGCCGGAAGGAGATTTATATACCTTTCTCCAAGGGCCAGACTTTGAAGAGGTTTGACAAGTAGACGGTACCTGCAAATTTTTAATCTGATCAATATTTCTATAAGACAAGAAAAGCAAAATAAAAGTTGATGAATTGTTAGAAGAAAGGAGAAAATGACACTGAACAAACCTCGTCAAACTTTTCAAAGTTTTGGGTATCAAGTTCATGCTTCACTTGTGGTATATATGGAGCATTCGACTCATATAGTCTTTCCCATTCAATTCCTCTAAACCAAGGGTGTGCCTGTAATGGAAAACAAACCAGACATCTAAAGTGAGAGTTTCGTTCTAGAGTTAGGGTTTTGTCTTGAAAGCAGCAAAGAAAAGAATGTTTTTAAGTACTTTGATTTCATGAACTCCTTTGGTTCCAAGCCTGTGTTCGACATTGCAGAGGAGTCTTCGGATGAGGTCTTTTACCTCGATGGAGAGCTTAGCTTCGTCAGGGAATTTCAAGCAGGTTTTCCAGTTTACAATCTGCAAAGATGAGCTGAGCAATTGTTTGATAAAAATAATACACTAGTCAAACATAATAGGAACAAAGTCTCGGATCATGCCCATATCCACACAATACGTTACTTAAAAAAGATGTCTCAATACATACACACTAACCCGATTTTCGGATCAAATGATAAGCTTATTTTTGAGGTCTA